CAGCAATTTCCGTGTAGTGCGAGAGCTACAGGAAACAACGAAAAAGTAGTAATAGTATTATCAACCCTCATTTTATTTAAGAACTAAAATGTTTTTACAAGTTACAAATATAAATAAAGTTGGGTCAAACCAATGGTTTGTATTGTAGCACTTTTCCCTTCAACAAGTGAAAATTCTGCTTTTCAATACAGTCTATGTATATCTATTACACTATTAAAATTATTTTCATTCATATACAAAACTATTTTAGGATTGCATAAATTTAGGATGATGCATACATGCAGTCTTTGAAATAAAGCAAAATAAACTCGGGTTAACATAATGTTCGATTTTAAGGGTTAATAAGAAAAATAATTATATTTTTTAATGTCATGGAATTTACCGTTAGCTTTTTGTGTTTATAGAAATTTGAAAAAGCTTGCAGTTTTGGAAACATAAGGTGTCAAAAATTCAAATTTTACAAATTTCAAGAGGCGATAACTTGAGAAGATTGGAGATGGAAAAAAATTTTCTTCTAACGAAATGAATTATTTGTTAATGTGTAAAAGCCGCTAAAATTTCAACCTTCTACAGGCTGGGATCTAGAAGAAAATCGAAATCAAAAATTTGGAAAAAAAAAGACTTTAGATAACGGCAAATTTGAACGGCCATTTTGTTTTTATAAAGTTTAATTATAGTATACCGCTCTAGGGGAAGCAAGCCGCTGCCTTTATGCGTTTGCAAAATTTCAAAAATGCTTATAGTTTCATTGCAACAAACAGTTAAAAAAGGCCATTTTTACGGTTTTGGGGGGGTATAACTTCTAGGGGGGGGGAGATAGGTAAAAATTTTGTTCTACGGAAATAAGTTTCTAGAAAAGATATATGTACGTACAAAATTTCAGCTTTCTATCTTCAAGGGTGTACAAGTTTTATAAACAGACACACGGACAGACGAACGGTCGGACAAACGGACGGACGGTCGTACGGGCGGAGGGACGGACGGACAGAGTGAAACTAATAAGCACTTTTTTTCAAAAATTTTTTGGAAAAGTGCTAAAAAGAATAGTGAAAATTGAGTTTATAAAAACCTTAACTAATAAATTCAAAATTTAAGAGAGAGAGAGAGAGAGAAAAAATAACAATGAAATAGGAAATCCTTATGGCGGAATTTGTCACAGCGGCTTGGTCATACGTGAAAAATTTCGCTACAGCGTTAAAACAATTACAGTAACACGCAATAGTAACATGCCAGCCGTTATAAAATATTTGTGTACTAAAATTGAATTTTGAGAGTAATCTGCAACCATCATTTGTGTGCATTATTTTTTTAACAAGTTTGTTCACACAAAAAGCTTTCATTACAAATTTTATTGGAAATACAAATTAGCTTTACCCATCTTCGAATGAATGTCAACGTCACATAGTATTACAGCTTGCTCATAAGTCTTTGAAAGTATTCGGAAAACACTACTTTTTTAACATCTTAATTAAATGTTTAAAATGCTTTAAATGTTAAAAATGCTTTTCTCTGTGTTATTAAGCTTTAAATGACAATTTAAAAATTTGTACACTGCAGAACACTCTCATTATTACAATAGTTACATTTTTTGAAGAAAAAATATAAGCATATTTATACCTTCGTCTCTAAGGGTTCACAAAGTACAAAAATTTGAGATGCCAGAGTCACAATACTGTACTATGCTCTGCACAAATAATTAAATGGAATACAATTTCAACATTTATGTATAGGTGAAATTCATTACTTTAAAGTTATTTTAAAACACTTATAATTAATGTTAAAAAATATGATTATTAATTTGCATATCTCATACACACATGCGTACTAAGTTAAATTATGTGAACTTAGTGACAAAAAGTCTACGAAATTGTATTTGGTTCATGAAATAAAACTAAAACCAATGCAAGAGATTTCCTTAAAACAAAAGTTACAAATTTTTTGCTTGTAAGGTTTTAAATTAAACAAATGTTTAAAGAAATATACAAGTCTAGGATCGCAGTTCTACATGTTTTACCATAATATTAACGTGATGAACTTATAATTCAATAAAAATAATACGTTTATTATAATATGTAATAAAAAAAAAAATACAAAAAACATCCTAGACTTTAAGCTCTTCGATTAGCAATGAAACGTTTTAAAGTTTTTTAAAGGTAGATATAGGTGTCGTAAATAAATCTTTCATGTGCAATTTTAACTACATATTATGTAAATGTATAACATAAACTTAAAAATAAAAATTATTTCTATTTTGAAGAAAAATATTACGAGCTATCAAATATTTTATTTATGAAGCAGAAATATGATCTTGGAAATGATTTATGACCACTTCAGACATAAATTTTTTTCAGTGTAGAAATCTCGTGAAAATTCGTTAAAATTCCTGTATCTCGAAAGCCACTCAGATTTGTCACCTCGTTCCATATAAAAATTTTACCCAATTTTGATACCCTAACCAATAGTTTATTATGTCAACGCACTAATTACTAAATAAACATATATAGTTTAAATAAATATTGTATATTTATTATTTAAATTAACTTTTGGGAAATTAAAACGTATCAAAAATTTATATACTTTCATATTGAAAGCATACTGCTACACAAAGTGGGGTAAGCATATAAAAATATAAAACTATGTACTTCTCAATTTCAATTAAATAATTGCTTCTTAATTTCAATACATATTTTTATAAGATATTATTTATTTTTGTCACTCATTCTAAAAGTTAATCATATTTTACAATCAGTTGCATTGACCTTCAACTTTTATGTTATTTATACACACATGTATATGTATAAGTGTTTTCGTACATATGTACATGCAGCTATACGTCAAAAGTTTGATAAACAAATTTATACCAACTCAATTTTCTTTTAAATAAAAAATCATTTCAATGTTTTGTTATAAAAGATCAATAAAACAACAAAATTTTTAAATGAATAAAAAAAGAGGTAATTTTATGATGTGTATGTGTGGATATTAAAGTATATAAAAGGCATATTGCGTAATTTTATCGACTGGTTTTTTTTCTCCGAAAAACTTTGAAAAAAAGTGACTATTATTTTTTTCTGCCTGTACAATTTCGTGTTTGCATATTCATTTATTTCTATGGAATAAAATTTTTTCCCACTAAATGTCAATCTTCCACCAAATTCTCTTGAAAATCGTTAAAAAAACACAAGTTTTCAAGTCGAAAACCGTATTAACGTGTTCAAATCAAGCAGAATTTTAAAAATTCCGTAAACTTAGAATATATAAGGCCCAATTTACTAATATGAAAGCACTTTATAGATATCAATTAATATTTCATTTTACTATTAATCAACAAATTTGCAAAATGTCAAATTAAAGGTATATTTTGAGCTGTTGATTTACAACTCCTCCTAAATTTATATAAAAAACAGAAAATTATTTCAATAAAACATAAGTTTTATTTTATAGATTTCCAAATGGCGTGTATAAAAAATAACAATGTTGAAAATTTTCATTTAAAAAAAATGTGCTTTTTACAAAACATTATTTTGATCTAACACACCTTTTTATTATTTTGCATGACATTTTATGCTTATTTTGTCTATGAGCCAGTTTAAAATTCATCATTTTTTTTCAAACTTTTCATAAAGATATCAAAAACGTTAAAGCTGTTTAAAATCTTACAACTTATATTTCTTTGTACCTTTAGTGCAGGTGTGAATACAGTACAATTTAGTCATATCATTTTTTGTTACATTGAAAAAAATAAAGAAATCTTCAAATAAATTTTCCAGTCAAGATGAAATGAATATACATATTTAAGTACATTTGATACTTAATCCTATTGAGAGCATTTGAAATTATGAAGATCAATTTTATTAAGTTCAGTTATTATAATATAAGTTAGTATTATTATTTCAATTAAAAATATAAGTTTTTAAAGATAAATTGTGAAAACTAACTCTTAAAGGACTGCTCCCATTGAATTTAAAGTTACTTTTTGTTTAAGAATATCTCAGTGTTAATTTTTTTCAATAACTTTGATCCAGATTTTTGCATATAAAAAAAAATTAAAGGCTATCCAGATTCGATTTACAAGAAAGTAAATTTTAGTAAGAAGGAGAAAAGAGTGTTTTTGGCATGATAATTTTTTAATGACATAACTTTTGCTTCGATGAACACTTCACTTGTTTTCTATATTTAATGGAAATGATTTATAATATAAGGTTATATTGCTTGCCTTTTCTTAAAACTAACTAATTAAAGTTTAGTATAAGTAAATTGACAAATGGACGCTGATATAAAGGAAAATATTTAAAAGGTGGGTGTTCACATTTAAAGAAAATTTATGTAATACATTTTTTCATCACATCATCAGTATTTTCTGGTATGCATATTTATACATATGTATACAAAAATTTATATTATATTTGTTCACAAAATTTTAAATTAACAAAAGTTTTAATGATGCGAATTTATATATTGTATGCTAATAAGGATTGATTGACTCATAACGTTCGAGAAAAAATTATTGACGCAAAAATTAATTATGAAAAATTATAATTGAAACTATTCAGCTGACAGAGCTGATATATATATACATGTATGTATGTATATATGTATATAAGAATTGTATTGATCACATGTTTTCATATGATAATGAAAGCGGTTCCTGCTTACTAAATTAAATGCTTACTAAAATTAAAGATGATTTGATCTTAAATTAAAATCACATTAATTCAAAATTGCAGTAATATAATGTTGATACGAAGGCACGAAATTTCTACTGGCTACCGTATTCTTCAGACAACTAGGATCAACATCATTCAAATGAATTTTGTTCCAAAAGTATACAAACAAGCAAAACTACTTCAGGTTAAAATATTAATTTGCATTTCATAAAAAACTATAAATAGCCCACTCATTATTGATGTACACATATTCAATTTAATTGTTTGTAAATAATTTTTAAGAGATACAAAACGTATGTATTGATAATCTTTTGATATTCAAATATTATTTACCTTGCGCAGGAAATCCTTCTATTACAAAGAAGGAAAAAATCAAAATGCTAAATGTTAATAGCATCTTAATGGAATACCTGTGTATTTATTTTTTTTTGCAAAATGTTTTTAATCTATCACATTAACAATTTAATTACAAAATTTTATGAATGAATTCTAATATTTCACAAATGTTTTCCACTTAAAATTTTATCTTAAAATATTTATGGTTTTTTTTGTAGATTTTAATTTTTTTCTTGAATAATATTTTTTTCCTTTGAATTTATATGTTTTTAATTGTGTAAAAATAGTTATGCTTTATAATATTATAAGATCGTATACCGCACGACCGAGTCGATTGTTCAAATTGTACTGAAGCTCATCTTGAAATCTAGTCGTATATTTCTTTAAATATGCACAATTTAATTCAAGTTTTCGTTATGTTAAAATAATATTTTAGTGTATTCAAAAACCAAAACTTAGTAGGAATATTCTGTTTTACTTTTTTTCGTCCAGCAGTTCACTCATTCATTAATTGTTAAAATTTAACATTTGTTTCAAAAGAAAATTTATCAGAACTTTTTTAAATTTACTGCGTAGCTGTTCAAATTTTTAATTGAAATACAAATATACAAAACTTTTTGTTTAACTTCTTCATAAGTCGAATGATCAACACAAGCTTTTGGCAAACTTGTATATTAAAGCTTTTGTTCTTCTTATACTTACCTTAATATCGTGGCACCACAAGCGAATGCAACTCTTTTTAACAGCACTTATCAAATAAAAAGGTAAAAAATTAATATAATTCTGCAGATATGATTCTTCATTTTAATTTTTATCCGTTATCTTTAGTGCTTTTTACAAACAATTCAATTAATGCTTACTTATTCTTAGATTTTATTATTATTCTTAAAAAGCAGAAAATAAAAAATAAAATTAAAAAATCAGCTTCAGAAAAACCACCTTTTTGTATTGATTTTATTAACTTTTTTAAGACAATATAAAATGAATTAATTATCATCTTATAAAATACTACTATAAATCAATCATATTATACGAGTAGCTACTTACTATAGTGATGCCTGATATTCATTTACTTAACGTAACATAAAAATAACAAAAGTTAATAAATTTTATAATTTTAAAATGTGTAAATTTTTTAAATTGCTCATTTTCTGCTGCTTGCAATATTATATAATTTAATATTATATTAAGATACAACTTCTGTAGAATGATAAATTATGGTGGTAAATGGTTCAATTGAATCTAAAATTTGTGTACGTCCAACATTTCAAATATAATTATATTAAATAAAAATGCTTAGTTAACATTTTATTAATTTTGGAACTTAATTTCAATAAACTGAATATATTGAATAAGTTCAATATTATAAAGTTCAAATGGTATAAATTTGGGCTTTTGAATTTCATCCTGATATTTTATCAGTGTTCACACATAAAATGTGGTTCATGCATTTTGTTGGGCGAGAATTTTATTGGTTGACCTTACATCAGTGTGCAAACGCTAGACCTCTGTTTAAATTCAGTTCAGCAATTCATGTTTAAGTTAAAGTTACGATCATAATTGTTATACATATTTTAGGTGAGATTATTATTAAATCAAAATTGTATATATAATTATTTTTTAAAAATTATTATGAACATTATACATGTTTCTAACAAATTTATTTAATTTTTAACTTATTTACTATAAAAGAAATTTATTTATTTGTATTGAAAAAGATTGAAAAAAGTGATAAAAATATTTTCTATTTCTTATGCTTGTCTTCAAAAATTTCTAATAATTTTAATTTGTGTAGCATATTTTCTACACTTAAATGTATAATTATAAATAGTTTAATACAAGTGACATCACTGCCATTATTTAGATTTTATTTCCACACATTTCGATATTTTATTAACACGCCATTTAAAATTTAAATTATGAATTGAAATACAATAAAAATTTAAAATTGATTATATATAATACAAAGCTATAATATATATTATTATTATAAAACATCTGAAATATTAAGAATTATCGAATTGCTAAAGATGAATTAAAACTACACTAATAAATATGTAATAGAAATATTCGAAGCAGTGAAAAAAAATGTTAAATAATGCCAGAATGATTTGATTCATTTTAAAAATTTATTAATTTTTTAATTTATTGCAATAGAATTGACTTATGTTTGAACTATAAAAATTTTTATAGTTCGTCCAGTTGTCGAAATTGAATTATTTGTGCTGAAATACTGTTGAAAGATTTTGTCTAATTAAACTCTCTACTCCCCATATTACAAAAAAAAAAATGAAATATTAATAAAGAACAAAAAAGGAAGAAAATACAGTTCTAAGCGAAAAAATAAATTTGTTATACTATTCAAAAAAGTATGCAATGATTATAAACGTTGCAATTTATGTGGGTATATTATCAAAAGTATGACGTTATGTCATTTTTAAAAGTGGAGCTTTAAAAATAGCACTATAAATATTTAACTGAGCATTATGACGTACTTATATATAAATATTTTTATTTCAAATACATAACATTATCATCTAACGTTCTGTACCAGTGTATTAATTACTATAAAATTTAAATTCACAGTTGAAGCTATTTAAATGTAACCCGGATATTTAAAAACAAAAAATGATATTTGTGTAGAAAAGAGATTTTGCGCGTTATAACCTCTTAAGAAAAGAAAAATTTTACGATAAAAAATATAATAATTTTTTAAAAGAAAACATTATTTAATTTTTTTTTAATAAATAAGATTTACTTTCTAGATATTGGTGATATTAGTAAAAACTATTTTAAGTTCTTAAACTGATTATCTGTGGTTCCAAATGCAAGATTAATACGATACTAATACAGAATTTAGCTTAGGTTAGATTCAGAATATGCTGGACTATTCTAGTAAGCCGAAATATAATTTTAAGCCGAATTATGCTTATAAAATGTATTACTTCAGTTATGAATCAGAAAAAAAATGTTAAAAGTTTAATATTTTAGCAAAGCACAAGGAAAAAATTTCAAAGCGAACCTGATAACGAATATGTAATGAATTTAACGAAATTTTTACAATCATAAATCGATGTTTAAATTTCAGTTTTTTTAACAACGCTTATATTAAGCTTCGACATCATATAAATCTTACGAATTTTTTTTTCGGCCACCCACGAGTTTTCTGCAATATTCTTATACAACGAAAATGTGATTCAGCAATTGCGATTTGGTGTATAACCATTCAGTTAAAATTTTCTTATTTTATTGTTTTTACGTGCGTACATATATTTTCATCGGTGTAAACAATAAGGTAGATGGCGTGATGGCAACAAATTTTGCCTATCGAGTTTTCGGTAGGAACGCACTTCTCCATTAATAAATTAATAATCAAGTTCTGCTGAACCGATTTTCATGAAATTTTATATGTGAATTCTTTTTGGCTATGTCACGGATTAACTAACTTTTGGGATATGTCAGGCCTTGGGAACTGGACTTTTTTGCGGGACAGTTTTTTTTTGCCCATATAAAGAGAACTAGGGGACGAATTCACGTATTTTATCATATCTATGGAACTAATTGATAGAGCTTCTTGAAATTTGATATTTGAATTCTGGTTGGCACAGAAACTAACTGGCGAACATTTCAGAGAATTCGGGTGGCACAAAGCGAAACTCTACTAACAGCCAAATTTACATTTTTCTAGGTATGTTAACTATAAACTTACTAATGCCCTAAAAATTGGAAAGAAGTACTGTTTCACTTAACTAGACAATAAACATTGCGGTCGGTTATGTGCTGACCACATCAGTTTTTTTTCATATAAATCACCGACAAAAAAGTTGTTTCTTTCCCGTTAAATTAATGTTATACAAGTTTTTGTTGCTTTTTTTGGTAATCCTTTAAAGAGTTTTACAGCGGTTTTTAAGCTGTCATTGAAAATTATTCGCAAACTCTTAATTTACATTTAAGAAAATTTGTTTCGTCACAATTTTTTGAGTGAATGTGCATTTTATAATTATCTTATCTTTCATTCTTTAGGGTATGTTGGAGTATAATAAACTTTGCAGTGTGGTAATAATTAATTTAAACTGCAATAAAGAGATAAATATATTGTGTGTAAAAGTTGAAAAAAATCTCTTTAACATTTTCCAACAAATGATTAAATAATTAAAATAAGGCCATAGAAAAAGTGCAATTGTTAATCAATCCATCACATGCCCAAATCTGATGCAAATACAAATTTCCACCATTTTATAAACATCTTCTTTGAAATAATTTTTTATATCACTAAGAAAAACGTTTCCATTGAAAACGTGAAACGTGACCAAACGTCATATTTTAAGGAAGCAAAAGCCGAAACTAGTTATTTTAAAGCCCCGTTTTCACCTTGCTCAGAAATGGTTGAGATCAAGTTTTATGTAGTTTTATTTAAAGTAACAAACTTTACTTAAATCATTTCTTTATATTTACACATTTTTCTTCATGTTTAGGAATATGTTCAGAGTTAATTTGAAATATTAATTTTTCTTGACCTACTTTTGAAGGATAAGTGGAAGTAGGATCAAGAATCTATTGAAAATCAGTACTTTTTCTCTTAAATCGTTCCTACTAGTAATTGTTAAAAACAAAAATTTATTAAAAATCAAAAGTAAAAGTCAATACCTTTTATTAAACTTTGTACTTTTAAACTTGCAAATTATTGGTTGTATTTACACAGCAAAATCTGCATAAGCTTTTAAATCTTTAATATACTTATAAAGCGAAGAATGGGTCTTTGTAAAGTATAAATAAATGACAACATTTAAGTATGAACATTTAACAACATTTAAGTATGAAAATGAATTTTAAACCATGCCACGATGTAGTCATTAATTTTTTAAATAAATAATCTAAAATTGAAGAGTTGATTTTTTTTACATAAAAATATTGTACATGAGCTTTGCTCTGCTTTGAATCTCCCAAAAACGAATATAATCATTAGAATATTGTATTTAAAAATATATCGATATGTAATTTTTGTTCTTTTATTTGTTTGTTCCATAGTCACAATTAAAAATTCATGTACTCATAATTTTTCAGAAAAACTTCATAATTTTTAGTTTTTTGCTTTCAACTGTTACGTATAAATTATTTTTAATATCTAACCTTAATTGTTTTTAATGGCAAATGTGTTTTTTTATTATTCATAAATTTCGCTAGAAAACTAATTTTAACATCATTACAAAACACAGTAAATTTCAAATTTAGTAATGGATTTATATTAGAAGTTATTCTAAACTTGCCTATTCAACATTAAAAAATAATACCTAAATACTTACATACTTATGTATGTACATATGTATAT